CAAGTTACAAGCGAGTCAGATATAGTCTCCAGCCTGTTTTGTATCATCAACACAGTTTTGCCCAAACAGTTAAAGTGCTTGTAGCAACATATAAAACACTGTCTATATGGGAAAAGCCTGATAAAGTATAGCTATCAAATTAAAATTTTCAAGCTACACAGAATGTCAAAATTAAGAAGAAATGATGCTCCAGAAATTACTTCACTTGAAAGATGGGGGTTTTATTCTTAGACACACCTGAAATTTAAAAAAAAACCAAACTCTCCACAGACTCCTGCCACTCAAATTATATATATAAGACCTGAATAGAAAGACAAGACATAATTTAAGCTAAGCCCTTGTTAAAATCATCTCAATATTACTAAATACATTATTTCATCCAGTGACCAAAAAAATCTAGCTACATCATTGTATTGCATGCACAAATTGTATGAACAAATTCTACACCAAGCAAAATATATTGCTTCTAGTCCTGGACTCTCTCAGAATACCTGAACTGGTATATCAAAAGATTTATCTATTGCAGATTAAAAGATGCTGGTGCATGTCCAAGACTTTCCCACTTTGTTCAGCACATTAAGGCAATCTCTGTAGCTGATCTTTCTGACACTGCTGGTGTCAAGATTACTTGAGGCCGCTGACAACTAAGAAACAGAGTAGCTTTTGCAAGATATTAAAGGCCTGTCTCCAGCTCTAATCTCTAAAAGCAGTCACTTTAAGCAGCGAAAATTCTGTTACATAGGTGCTGGAAGAAGGCAGCCTACTAGTAACTACTGAACACCATCACATGCCCTAAGCCAAACTGACAATGCACAGCACATTTTCTAGCGGCTGCATTTTAACTCCAAACCGCAAGACGCCTAAATTTATAACAGTTAATTTGATTTAAACGTATTTATTTTCAAAGCTACAAACACACACTGCCAGTACCACATACTAATGCTAACTTCTAAAAAATAACAAGGACCAAGGATAAGTTCATTACCCTGCCATGACCTCGACCTTTTCCATTTGCAGAATAAGGGCAATATTTACCAGCTTCACAAGGACACAGCAAGTTAAATTCTTAAATTCAAGTCTTTGGGACAGAAAGAACATATTTAAGTAATTGATATAATCATATCAGCCAATAAAATTCCAACTGTTTCAGGAGTTCCAACTTTTCTATATTTTAATTAACACAGGCCTGCGAGTGAAACAAGATGCTTATTTTCTAATGGCAACCTGCTCACAGGTTCCAGCTGTGTAACCTTTAAGCACAAGCACTTTTTACTCCTCTTTTGATGCCAACATATTCCTGTCATCATTCCTTCCCCACCACCTCAATTTTTTACTCCCCCATCCTCGCAGTGCTCACTCCTCCAGCAGCAGAAGACTTGGATCATGACAAGGACATCACACAGTAGCACCTTCTCTGTTTCTGCTGATTAGGGCAAAGAAGTAACATGTAGAAAGTATGGAAACAGCCAGTCCCCTTCACTCCCATGGTCCTTTTGTAAGGAACACATAGCAACAAGCAAGGTCAGAAAAACATACAGTCCAGAAGAACACAACGATAGAAAACTGGAAAATGTGCCACTGTATGAATTGGCTGCCAGTGAACAAAGAATTGTTCTAATTTTTTACTATTTTTCTCCCAATTACAACTTGACAAATTACACAGAGAAGGGAAAACAGGTGTGGCAAGGAAGAGGAGGGGCAAGGAAATCGAGAGCACACTGCTTTCAAGAAGTCACATATTAGCTCACATAACAAAAAATGTTTTTCCATAAAAATTTTTCATCATCAATCATTTCATATAGTTAAACCAAAGTCTTTAGAATCACAGAATCAGTTAGGTTGGAAAAGACCTCTGAGATCACTGAATCCAACCTACAGAACTTTACGCTCAACTACCACTCAGATTTAAAATGTTTTGAGAGGATACAAATTTTTAGATGTGTAGTGAAACACATCTAAATACAGGCAGCAAAAAGAGGGAGGTAAAGCAAAACATTTCTTCAAACTAGAAAATAAAAATCATAGCAATGTTGAAAAATCTTATGCAAGATTAATTTATGAATTACAGTAGAAGAACACTATTAAGCACACCTACAATTAAAAAAAGCTATTTCTTCTGTAATACTGCCAGGTAAGCACCAATTCAGCACCCAGATTAAGGGGCTGGACTATCTCTTTAGAAGAAAAGGCTGAGAGAGCCAGGACCTAATCAATGTGTACCAGTATCTGAAGGGAGGGTTCCAGGAGGATGACCAGGCTCTGCGTGGTAGTGCCAAGCAACAGGCAGAAGCTGATGCACAGAAGTTCCACCCGAAAACAAGGAAAAATTTTTTACTGTGTAGCAACCCTGCACTGGAACAGATTACCCAGAGTCTCCATCCCTGGAGATATTTCAGAACCATCTGGGCACAATCCTGTGCAACACGCTCCAGGATGCCCTGCTTGAGCAGGGAGGCTGAACCAGGTGACCCACTGTGGCACCTTCCATCAAACCTGACCCATTCTGCGAGGAGGTAGAAGTAGAAAAAGAGAAATGGTTTGGCATAAAAATGTGCACTTCTGCCTCACCTCGTTTCCTCAGAAATACCAGAATTACTGAATTCTCTTTTTCTGGCACTGGCAGACAGAAGACAATCCCATCTACTTTAAGATATGAACAAACCCCACAATGTAGGTGTTATTAATCCACTCCCTTAAAATTTTCCTTTCACCTGCTAAGCCAGATACCTTAGGTGATGAATATACTGAAACTTCTGAGGTATGCCCACCACAAACTATTTTTCCTTCAACTACTCAACTGTCATTCTCCCTATTGTTAAATTAATAGTTAAACCATACAAAAACAGAATTCTAATTCTACCACAGGAATAGTGAAAAAATATAATTACTTTTTAAAAAGTCTTCTTCCCTCTCCACCAACAGGCTCTTATCTTCCTGTTTAGGAATAACTAGCTTTTTGTTCAGCTAATAACCAAAAGCATGTAACATCTCCCTGCTAAATAGTAAAGAATTGTTTAAGATGGTCTTCTGGGGTTGTTTTTTTGTTTTATTGCAAAAAAAGAAGAACTGTTTAAGAGGTTCTTTACCAGTAATTTAGAACCAGTGTTAGATCACTTCCAGCTGGAGAAAATGCACCAGAGGCACTAGTATTCAAGTGAAGTGAGTCAAAACAACTGAATAAGAGACTAGTTAAGATGGATGCATGATATAATATGTTTTGGGTGATTTCTGTAGAATTCTGGGGCTTCTGTACTACATCTATGAAGAACTGGATATGAACCAGAACACAGACCATCCCGAGAAAACAGAATTTATCTAAAACTAAGATCATTCAATACCTTTATCTGTGCTGTTTGCTTTTTCCTAGAAAACACTACTCATAGGAAAAACTTGCTAAGTCAACTCTGACAAAAATAGCTTATCAACATTACTTCCAGCATTATGTAATGGACCCGTCATCATATGCTCTGACAGATTATTTTAGAACTGGCTACACCTAAACATCCAGAAGAACATTCTTTGACTCACTAGATGTTTTTGTTTTATCTTAAACTATCTACTACAAACACAACAACACATTCACCTCTTTTTTCACCATTACTGTCAGCTCTCTCATTCGGCAAGAACATAAAAAAAACTTGTTCTAGACTGTGAAAAAGGAATTTCTCTAATATCATAAGGGTTGAACCAAGATGTACTCCATTAAAGCTGAACTCTTTCAATGAAAACATCCCCTGATTAATGACAAAAAAAAAAAAAAAAGGCAACCTAAATTAAATGCTGGGTGTGTTTTTTTTTGTTGTTGTTGTTGTTAATGTATAGTTTTATATTGATTTTCAGCCTGAAAGGCATCTAAGATCAGGTGGTACCAGTGTAGTGATACAGCTACAGTAGTGCTGTGCTTACTTGAGAAAACAAGCACCTTTACTGGCAGAGATAACATCCATAACACCTTTTTTCCCCAGTATATGCATTTCCACATTGCAATGCATCATACACAAACACTATTCAGGAAGCAATGAAGTAATGATCAGCATGATTACACCATCAAAAGATCACAGGAAAGCTTTAATTACAACAAAATGAATAAAAAAATAATCAAAGGTAATAATACACGAAAGTTAAGTTCGTTAATGGTCACTGACATGCACATGGGCATCTTAGTTCAATAATATTTCTGTTATATACACATATATGTTATTTATATTATTATATAATTATATTATAAGTCTATTACATCTGGCAGGTCTCTGAGAACAAAATTTTCACAGAAGATCCAATTACTGGCAAGATGAGCACAACTGTTGTGTGGAAAATGATCACTGTTCATGATGATCTATACATTAAAAGTAATTACCAGTACTGCAACCATGGCATAAGTGATAATAATTTCTTTAAGCCTCAAATTCATTAATACCTTTTTCTCAAAATATGAACTTTTCTTTCCCACCCCAGTCTTGATGTGCTCCCAACCGAAACCAAAGCTTTATACACTTCAAAGCACTTCTCCAAATGTACGTCTATTAAAGTGTACACACAAAACCAGTCTGAGCATGGCACATTAGTTTCTGCCACAACTTTATTTTTTAAAGGAAAGGCTGCAATGCCTGCTTAAAAACAAAAGGAAACCCATTTTTAACTTCCAGGCCCTGTGAGGTCTAATGTGCAATGTGACAACCAGCTGGCCTCGCTCTGAAAGGGTTAAAAACAACAACAAAAAAACTTAAACTACTTGTATTTCTCCAGCGGTAAAACCAAAATATTGCCAAGTCTTCCTGCAGCCAGGCCACTGGATAATTTAGGCTAAAAGAAATGTTTATTAAAAAACAGGGCGTTGATTTCTTGGCAGCGGTGAAAAGCAGGAGACACCCCTAGTGTCGACGTAAAATACTACAGGACTCCATACTGTATCTCCAGGTTAATTTTCCGGCAGAAAAAAAAGGAAATTTAAACCCGTCATGACTGAAAAAACAGAGCGACTCTCGCACACACACACACACCTGGCCACATGGCACTCCCGCAGCCTCAGACCCCGAGCACCCATCCCGAGTGAAGCGTCGGCTTTCCGCCCCAGCCCGGGCACAGCGCACATTATCCCGTCCACCGGGCTACGTGCATTACAGCTTTCCGGTCCGCATACGAACAGCACAGCGCTACTGCTGCTGCACCGGGGGCGGGGGGAGAACCCCGCGGAGCTGCGAAACAACCCCCGCACGGCAGCGCCGCCGAAATCGCCGGGGTTTCGTTTGGAAAAGGCTCCGGGGGCCGACGGTGCCTCCGTGGAGCAGACGAGGCGCAGCACGGGCGACGCGAATCCCCGGACCGCGGGGAGGGTCGGGTGGGGGTGAGGTGAGAGAGCGCTGGCGAAGGGAAGGGCCGAGCCCGACAAGCGCTGCCAAGGCGGTGGAGGGAGGAGGCGGAGAGCCAGCGGGGTTCCGTGGGCGGCGGAGGAGAGCGGGGGATGCGCCCGCCGCCGGGGACAGCCGGGAAGGAAGCCCAAAGAGGCTCTCGCCCGCGGGAGGACGTGGACGGCCCGGGGGCGGGAGGAGCCGGGTCAGGGGCAGGGCAGCGCCGAGGCGGAGCGGTGGTGGGGCCGCGGGGGTGGGGGACACGGCCCGGTCTGGAATATTCCAGCGGGGCGGGAGCGGGGAGGGGGGAAGAGCTAGGGAGGGGAAGCGAGGGAGGGTCCTCACCATGGCGGCGGGTGGGCGTCAGGCGTCTCCCCCGCAGATGAATCCGCCGACCCCGGCCTCGCTGTGCGTTGTCCGGCGTCGCCGCCGCCGTTGCCAGTCCCAGTCCGCTGCCGATCCCGCCGCCGGTCCCGCTCCCGTCACTGCGGCAAAGGCTCCGCTGACCCGCGCACCGAGGGAGCGAGCGAGGGAGGGAGGGGGCGCGAGCGGCGCTGGCGCGGGGCGGAGGAGGCGGGGCTCTCACATCCGGGTACTCCGCTGCGCCGGGGGGCGGAGCGAGGTCGTGACATCATCGGCGGGGTGGGGAGGTGGGAGCGCGAAATGGCGGTGGAGTGGCTGCGGGGCTGTCAGGGGCGGAAGTGATTTTTGAGATCATTACGTGCAGCTGTCAGCTCGGCGTTGCTTCTGTAACTCTAACCTCAAAACCACTAAACTACATCACCCAGCTCCAAGTCCAGGCGCCTCTTAAGCACCTCCAGGGTTGGTGACTCCACCACTTTCGTCGGCAGTGCATTCCAATGTCTGGCCACCAGACCAGTTAAAAAAATCTTTTTCCTACTGTCTAATCCCAATCTCCCCTGTCGCAGTTTGAGGCCATTTTCTCAGGGTAGAAGAGGCTGCTCTCCAGTTACTCGGAGGGAGCGATGAGGTTCCCCTGAGCCTCCTCTGGGCTAAACTGCCCCCGCTCCCTCAGCTGCCCCTCATGAACCTGTGGGGCAAAAGCGATTTTTGGGGCTGCTAGAAGGTCCCTTTTAGTAGGCCTTTTGTGTTAAATGTTAACTACAAAACACAACTGTTTCATTTCTTTTTTGCTGCTAAACCAGGACTGATCAGGGTGATGGCATACACTTTTTTTTCCCCCCTTGTATGATTTGACAGATGAATGTGTGATCATTTTCAGTGCTGGGCCTGGCTAAATGTGACTGTAAGGCTGCAGTGACTGGCTTGAAAAGTCTTCAAAAGGATTCCAAGGATGCAGATTTCCTGACCTGTGCAGCAGACACACAAAAATACCTTAATAAACTCAAGGTTTATTGCTGCTGCAACTACTGGTGCTAAACAGTTGTTATCTTTGCTCCTTCAGGCCTCTGCCCAGGGAAAGGTTCCTTCAGGAAAACTGCCAGAGCTGCTGGTTGTCCTTGTTCTCCCAAACACCCTTGGCTTAGGCTGGTCTCTTTCAGCTATAACCTATATATATACATATATAATTATTATATGCATAATTATTATATATATGTGTGTGTGTATGTGTTTTTATAAGCTTTGCTGCTTGAGCTTCCTCATGTGACTTCTGTGTTCTTCTGTGTTCTGCAAAAGGGGGAAAAAAAAATCCATGCAGGGAGGAAGCTCTGGGCAAGGAGGCATTTGAAAGCATGCCTTTGAGAGGTGTCTGCTCTCCCTATGTTCTGGCTGTTATTTTCCTCAGGCTTTTAATGTTGTATTGCAAGAGACTATCCAGGCTTGAAGCTGCTTGGTAAAGAATCAGAGAGTATTTAGTGTTGGAAGGGGCCTCTAGAGATCATCTAGTCCAACTCCCATATTTAACAGATTTTTAGATTATGGTGTTTCCGTACTGTTAATAGTTAATGATACAAAACTAAAGGAATTGTGCAGTGATGAGATAATCCTTAAAAGTGTATGCATGTATATTTGTTTCATGCCAGCCTTGCACCCTGCATAGTCTACAAAGTAAAATTACTGGAGCTGAATGCAATTTCAGATGAAGGATGTAATCTCAGTAACCCCTTTGAGGCAAAATTTAGGGCAATGCAACTGCTTGCATAAGTAAGGCTGACCCTCAGGGAGTGATCTCTATATATTGTGAACTTTTAAATAGGCCAGATGACACCTTTAAAAACCTCTGTAAAGGGTAAAATGAAATAGTTAATAAAGAGGGTGTGGTTCCACATTTCCTTTGGTGTTTTTGCCTTTCTGTCCTTTCTCTGCTAAATGGGTTTATTTTGGAGCACCATGACACAGCACATAACACTGTAACAAATGAGGTGGTGATGAGAAAATAGTAATTATGTACAGTTGTGTTGATACTGCCAAAGAGAAGACTCAGTGCCATGTTGATGTTTTTCAGGCATTCGTTCCTTGGCTCTCAATAGCTAGACACTTTGCCAGGGAAATGCAAGTTAATTCTGTCAAGTTCAAGGTGAATGGTGAGCTAATTCGTAGGAGAAGGGAAGATTGGATTGTTGCAGGTTAATTTTTTAGGACCACAGCTGAGAGCATGAGCTTTCTAATCTAAAATGGTAATAACCTCTCCCTTCAGCTCCTTCTGGAAGAGGAACTGCCTCATTACTGTTGCCCTATTAGTGGGAGTCTGAGCTGATCTAAGATTAGCAAAGGTTACCTTTAGAGTGCAGAAGAAGGAGAAACCTGGAATCTTGAAATTAAATGCACAGATTATAAGAGGAATGGGAATCCCATAGGGAAGTCTGCTCAGGGACCTACATAAATGAAGAGTGACTGTGGAGTTCAAGAATAGATGAAAAGTTCTTCTGTTCTAGAAGACTGAAGCAAAGCAGAACAATAAATGTGCAGTTCTTAGAAACTGTTCATGACTGACGAATGTTCTGTTCCCAAAGTGATACGCAGCAAGGGGGAAGCTTCAGCAGGGAGAGCCAAGAGTGGGTCAGGGAGATGGCACAGAAAATCTGGCAAAAGTAACTAAGTGAAGGTGGTGGTGATGAGTGAAACTGAATGGTGGTAATTTGCACCAGAAGAAAACAAAACAAGCACTAAAGTGTAAGGTGTGAGTTAATAACAAATCAGCAAAACAGGCTGGTAAGAACCTGGGCCTGGCCCCAGTAGGAGGTTGTACATCAGAAAATGGTCTGGTCCAGGGAAGGAATTTTCTGCCTGTTTTTATTAACAGATACTGATGGTTAGGATGTCTCTTCTTTTGGGGGAAAAAAACCCTAATAAATAGGATGTCTAGGTATAAAATATTCCTAGATTTCACTAAAAGCTAGCATTAAAACTGACTGGCATCTAGACAAAAAATAATAACTTGGGATCTCTAAGAGGAAAAGGAATTCTGATGTAAAACAGTCTTGCTCCTTGCATCTCTGTCATTGCAGCTGTATCTAGCAGATGTAAATCTGGAGTAAAAAAATTAACTAAATTAAATTGAGGGAAGCTAGAATTTCTGTTGAATAATGTAATGAGTTTAAAATAAACAGAAATGAGGAACATAATACCTAATTTGTTACCTTTTTGAGTTCCAAGTAGACAGAGCCAAGAACTTAGGAAAATACACTTTTAATCTCATGATGCAGTTATGTCACTCCTAATAGTTTTCAACCTCTAGATGCAGTACAGAGAAGAACTAGACACTTTTAATTCCCTTCTTTTGTTTGAATGTGTCCAAGTTGCTTTTCTTTTATATCTAACTTTTAAAAGGAGTTAAAAATGAAAGGTGGTGTTCGTTACTGTGTAGGTAAGAGTCTGTAGAAAACCATGACTTACATTTGATGCTTTGCATTATGGTGCCTGCATTTCTGACTAATATTTTTGAAAATACTGATATGTGATTTTTTTTTTTTTAGAGTAGGAGTCAGACATTGCTTTATCATTTTTTGCTGGAAGTAAAGCTCAGCTGCAGCATAATTGCAACCATTCAAACTAGGATCATAACATCATGGAATCATTTGGATTGGAAGGGACCTTTAGAGGCCACTTAGTCCAGCCGAGGGGCCACCTATGTCCACCATAAGCAGGGACATCTTCAGCTGTACCAGGTTGTTTAGGGTCTGGTCCAATTTGACTGAATATTCCTAGGGATGGGCCTTCCACCACCCCTCTGAGCCACCTACTCCAGGATTTTACCACCCTCACAGTAAAAAATATCTGTCTCCATGTAGGTGGAAACTGATTAAGCTACAGATAGGTAAATGTGTAAACTCTTTATCTGTTTGGGATCTTCAATGTTGTTGACCATTGTGATGTGGCTTGCACAGTGCTTGACCTAATGCCTGGAAAACAGTTTCTGTGCTGCTGCTGCTTATGTGTCTGGGCTCTAGCATGTTTCTTTGAAAGTGCTATTTGTGATGCTCTAACTATCTCAAGGTTTTGAGGATATTTTTTAATACAGCATGTGTCTTTGGTGTCCTGAGCATATCCTTCTTTGTCTTGCCTTGCTCTACTCTTCATGTAAACATTCCTGACTCACAAACCTGGCTGGGTGCAATTTGTCAGCATTCCCCTCTCTGTTAACCCAGGGTTAGGGCTGCCACCTAATTAAATAATCTTCTGTCCTGACCCTTAACAGGCTGTAAGCAGCTTTCCCAGCAAGGCAGGTAAACTCTTGGGACTGAGTGCAATAAAGCTTGAAATGCAGTATTTTCATATGTGTGTTCATATGTAGTAGTGTTTTATAAAAATCAATAAACTCTTATTTTTGTGTAGGTCTGTATAAGGAAGAAAGGAAAGCAACTTATGAACTGGCTTTGAGAGAAAGTGCTTTCAGTTACAGTGGGCAAGGGAGGATGTACTTTATCAGCAAAAGAGGAAGCCTTTTCAGATAGAAATGAAAACTGTCCTTTCTCAGCATGTTGAATTGCCCTGTTGGTGCAGGTCCTGAACTCTTAATATCTGTAAAACCAATGCACCACATTTATTCATCATTTCAATTGTGATAAACCAGTAATAAACAAATCTAGAGATACAAAACTGACTAGAACTGACAAATGGTTGGAAGGATAATGTGCCTCTCATCGCATCTCTCGTAGTCCTACATCTGTCTTTTCAGGTGAAAGAAATCAAAGGGAACCTGTCCTTATTTTCTGGCATATTTGTGAGAGCATGTATGAAGTGCCAAGGCTTGGGAGGAAAGAGAGATGATACTTTTCAGTTCCAGTAAGGCACGGCTGAAAAAACTTATCTAATGAAAGACCAGAAAAATGCTGTGGGGCACAGAAGCCTTATGAAGCTGTAGGTCATAGGGTGAGTTTTAGTTACGCATTGGTTTATTGTGTGT